GCGGAAATTGTTACCATTTTCGGCTCAAAAATGGTAACAATTTCCGCACGTAATACAAACATACTGAAAATATGCAAACTTTGCAAGGCTATATTTTCCAAACTTTACAACATTTCGCAACCAAATTTTGCAATTTTACTAATTTTAATAAGTTCTTTACGGGAATTTACTTTTTTTTGCCTAAATCAAAAATTTGTCTAACATGCAAGTTGTCCATTAAAAGGGCTGAAATGCGCCTTAAAAACCATCATTCAAAAGGCTTAATTGTGCCTTTATGTAACAAATTCAACGCAGTTGAATTCAACGCCTTGTTTTTTTATACATGCATTTTGATATTGTAGCAGTTCAATCTCATTAGCACGTAATCTGACAAATCATTATTAATCAATTACTCTCTAATTAGTAATTAATTACTTTTGAACAAAAATAATTTGCAATTTGTAGTAATCACCTTTTCAGAGAAGCAATTGTAATTTTTACTAATTACTTATTTTGGTTATTTGTACAACACTAACTGCCCTAACTATACGTGAAAACATCATATATATAGTTTATCTACATGTATTATTTCGTGCAAAGTAAAATGTCAGGAGTTGCTTGAAAATTTAAATTTACTTATAACTCAATTGTCATCAACTGGTGTGTATAGTATAATTATCACTAAAATATTATTTAGAATAATATCAGTCTATATCTATGTTTTATTACTTGAAAGTTGAGAAATGGGGAAATGAATGATTGAGGGTCTCGTAGGGGGGTCTTTGTTCTTCCAATGATAAACATTGAAAGATCCAGTATTCATGGTTGTAGCAATTTTTGAAAAACTAACAAAGAACTTCTCAGGTTTTGATTATGCAATCTGAAAAAAAATTTGGATAGAATGAAATCTTTTGGATAGAATGAAATAGATATAAAATTTTTAACAAGGGCGGCGCAGCCCCCCTGATCTCCCTATCTTCTACACCCCCTGCCTAGCTAGGAGACCCTCAATAATTCTTTGGTAATTTATTCGCAGAGTCCCTAAATATTATCCGTCAAGTTTTGTATTGTTTCGGGTCTAGCTTCAATATCTTTTGCATCAACGACAACAGGCTTCTTTTCAATGTGGAAGCAAACGAACTTGCCTTCTGTGACCTTCTCGAGAAACTTCTTATAACTCAACCCATTCTTTTTTTGCGGCTTATAAGCACTATATACGACATCTTCATCTACGACAACGGTTTTAATACCTTGCATGGCAATCAAAGGAGTGCATTCATTGCACGGAGATTTCGTAACAAACAGAATGGCATCTTTGATCTTCTTTTTATTTCGCATCAAAAGGCATTCTGCTCAGCATGGATTACATACGGGTATTTCTTATCTGCAGGTTCATCCGAACCTCTTCCAAACTCGCCATATTGTGCTTTGAGAGGAAAGCCATTCCAACCAAGCCCGAGAATTTCCATTTCTGGACTAACAATGACTGCACCAACACCAGTAGTCGGGTCGTCTGTACGCGTAGCGAGAAAACGTGCTATCGTTATGAAGTGTTTAGCTTGCTCCGCCGCTTGCTTGTCATTGACTGGATCGAAGACGGGTTGCACTTCGGGAATTACACAAGGTTTAAAATTTGACTGTGACTGTGGAGTGACCAAAACTCGTGCTATCCAGTCCACGGAGTTCTGAAAATCTTCACAAACTTTCTTGGTTATGTTCTCGTCCAATATTTTCCAGGGTAGCTCTTCTTTAACAGACTTCATCCATGGGGAATTCAGTTTAAATGCGCTGTACTTGCCGATCAATTTAACTTTTTGTTTATCTACATTGTTTTCTTCATCTGTTGGGGTTTTCTTCTGCGCACGGTGAAGAACAGACTCATCGATATGGAAGACAAATATTGTCTGGGCAATGGGGCTTGCGGTGAACAGAATATCGACTTCATTCTTTTGGTCGCCTGCTTCAGGTGAACGATAGTATTCTGGTTCAAACGGCAGAAACAAGACTCGCTCGACTTTCGACTGGACCAAAAGCTTCGCACAGAACGAACACGGCTTTCGAGACATGAATATCTTACAACCCTTGGCTTTATCGCAGTGCTTCATCAACAACCTGGCTACAGCGTGGACGTCGTCTCGAGAACAATCTGCGGCCAACACCACATCGTTTGGTAACACAAGCACTGCCCCGACCTTGTTGTAACCCTCAGGAGCTTTGGCATCGACAAAATCTTCCATCCACAGAGCAATGGTCATATAAAGATTGTCTTTGCTCACTCGTAAATAACTGTCCGCGTAGGATTCTTTTGAATTTGGATTCTTTTTATCTGTAGAATTCTTGCTTTGCTCACCAGGATCATTTTTATCTTTCTCTGTGACATTTTGATCGGCTACAGACGGTGCTTTCGCCATATTGATTTAAAGGGAAAGCGTTAAAGGGCGTATATATTATTATACGATTTATCCAAACATCAAATTACTTCCTGGAATTTCAATTCCGCGAACACACCGGAAGAGTTCGCGTTATTGATTTTTCATCTTCATATTTGCCAAAAATGGAACCCAGAATTGAAATCGTCATGCTGAAATTAGTCTATACAGAACATTTCTTGATGTGTGGACATTCACGGGGCGAGTTACGGCGTTTTGAAAAGTTTGTTTTCAATTCCCATACATTTGTATGGAATTTCCGCTTCAGAAAACAGGGTCGTACAGTATATATCCAAACATCATTAAATTTTCGGTGTAAACTAATTTAATTAAGCATGAAGATATCAATTCTGGAGTCCATTTCTGGCAAAGGTCTGTAGAGAGTGAGTTGCAAAATTGAAGGCATCAATTCGGACTTTTACACTTATAAATACAGATCAAAGACATAAGGGGGTTTAAGTATAATCTTGTTGTTTGTTTTGTCAAAACAGTTTAAAATAAATTCAAGTTAGTTTCTCACTCGGAATGATATTTGAGAAAATGAACTTACATTTTATATAAATCAAAAGGATTTTCTATATAGATTGATATATTACCAGTAAAAGGATTTTCTATATACAGGCTCCTTCATGACTATAATTTCATGAATTATTACTCAATGTAATGAAATTTTGTTAAACACTGAAAATCCCACTGTTCTCCAGGCCATCGAGCCATGATCCAGTGATCAAAATGTTTCATTAGCTGAATTCATATGAGAAGACAGATTTCCGTCTAAGACGGCAAACTCGTGCGGCGGATTTCCGTCTGGTATGAACCATCGGACGGATAAACCCGAAAAAATAGGAGACCCTCCATCCCAGTCTCTTTTCAACGTCACGAGCAGAAACCAGTCTTGATTTATCGTCTGATATAAATTTAAGACGAGTTCCCGTCTAAGACGAGAAATTCGTCTAACTTTCCCGTCGTTCAGACGGAAAAGTTGAGACGGAAAAGTTGAAACTGACCGAATTTATATCTGGACGAGTTTCTCGTCTCGAATTTATATCTGGACGAGTTTCTCGTCTTCTAATATGAATTCAGATACCGTATTATTTTGAAAATCTCACTGTTCTCTATGCCATCATAGACAATCCAGAAGACATGTCTTCTGAATTGTCTATGATGCCATCCAGTCATGATCAAGTGATCAGAATGTTCCATTGTCTTTTCATTGTTTTGAAAATCTCACTGTTCTCCATGCCATCCAGTCACGATCCAGTGATCAGAATGTTCCATTGTTTTCAAAATCTCACTGTTCTCTATGCCATCCAGTCACTCATTGTTTTGACTTGTATTAGCATTGATGCAAAGGTCATATTTTAATGTTCATGTAAATCTAAATAATCATTACATCATTTCGTCCATGATCGTTTTGCACATGCGCAGTTCTCATCCCCATGCGAGGCTGTTTCATTCGCTCAACAACACTTTCCAATTTCATGGCCATGCGAACATCACCCTCGACCGTTACCCGGCCTTGCATGTAGGCATTGAATGCCGTCATCTCTCCCGCAAACAGGGCGTGCATATCTTCCGAGGACAGTGAAATCACTGCATCAGGCATACACCCTAAAGGCGGGCCCTTGCCTCCACGCCCGCAGCCGTTTTTCAAATCGAGATACCAGACTCCTCCTTGGCCGCTGATGTTGAACTGATATACACAACCAATCTCTTGCACGAGTCGCTCGTCTGTCACGTGATTAAATATGGCGACCAGTTGATCGGGGTCAAGTGGCGTGGGGTGAGGTGGTTGTTCACGTGATACGGGCATGGCTGGGGCATGATGGGTGGCAGGGTTACTGCGTGATGGAAGTACTTGTGGGGTGATGCCACTTGTGGCTCCCTGCATAACTGTAAATAAAGAAGAGCGAGTTTTTTTTTAGCATAAAAAATCATAAAAATCCTGTGGCGATATCTCAATTCCTACCATCTCTCTGACTGGGATTTGATTCTGCAATATGAAGTTGTCTCATTATAATTTCACTCCAGTTGCGTGCGAGATGGTACTTCCAGTTTGACTCTACCAAGCACTGTAGGCTTCTCACTTTCCTCCTGTAGTAACACTGGATCAACAAGGGTTAATTCTTACTGAACCTCGAGGAAGAACAGTTTAGAACTGATAGAGCTGTCCAGTATAAAATATAGTTTTGTTTAGCCGTTTCCTCCTGTAGTAACACTGAATCAATAAGAGATTATCTGTACTGGAGAACATGTGTTGTTGCAGTTGTCGTTTACACATCATTTAGTGATAATTTGTATTTACCTTGAAATAGAGTGCTTATTGGATTGTCAGCACCTTTGAACATGGAAGCCAGATCCGGTTTGAATTCAGGCGGAGCACAGATGACCTGAGGTTCCGAGCTAAGATGGAGAAAAGCAAGTATGTATAAATTTCCATGGCATGACGGTATGGAAGTCCTCACAGTTTATGTCAAGGAAAATTAACGTCAGTCCTGCTTGTATTCGAGCTGGTTCCTCTGGATAGCGCATCTAACTTATGTTGATAGCAAAAGAAGACAAATGATCGTCTCTTGCGTAAATTGGGCGAATAATCAAACCTTAATAGTCTTAATAGTCCTTACATTTCAATTCTGTGGATCTGTACACCCCATGATTTTGTTGCTTTGTTCAGCTCATCCTATATGAAAATTAAACATATAACAGTATTAATCTTTGAAGCAATCTGGCAAGAAATTGACTAATGTGTGGTTACCTGATGTTGAATCTCATCGGAGAGTTAAGAATAAGACAGTGTACATAATATTTGTCCTCTAATAGATTTGGCATGACCAGTCAAAAATCGAATAGAATCATTAAAACAAACTTATCAGTTCAAAATTGTTCTCCCTAGAGATCCAGGAAGAACCATTCCATATTGATATATGGTTTATATGGTTGCTACTTGGGGAACCCAGAACTCCTGGAGAAAACCTGTGGTGTTTGGTAGAGTGGAAGCACTCTTCTCACATGTGACTGAGGTGAGAATTCCGGTCCAAGCAGTGAAAACCACATGCACTAACCACTGTGTGTCACCAATGTCCAACATGTGTTACTGGTTGTTTATTAGATACATGTGTATACCTGTGCATGTATACTAGTAAACTTCTTATCATTTTGTATTTCGACTAGTTTCAGTGTCATCATGATATTGACCAACGTGGTTTGTGCCAGAACACGCATTGAGTGATTCAAGTCCTGCACGACTCCTTTGGAAGCCACTGGATCTTTGATTAGAAACTGAACTGTAGCTCCGACCAAAACTGCCGCCTGGTCTTTTGTGAGAATCTGCAAAGAATTAGAACTAGATTTGTTTCTGTGATTTTTTCAAGATGAGTTTGGAAAAGCGTTCATTTCTACCTAAATGTTTGAAGGAGTATATTGAATCCAAGGGTTGATGTAGTGTGGTCATACAAGGGCCAGGTGATGGTGGTGGTAATGATGATGGTGATGGTACTGGTGTTGGTAATGGTACTGATGATGGCGATGGTACTGGTGTTGGTAATGATGGTGATGGTACTGGTGTTGGTAATGATGGTGATGGTGGTGGTGATGGTACTAATGATGGTGATGGTACTGATGATCTGGTGATGGTACTGATGTTGGTGCTGCTGATGGTACTGATAATGGTGATAGTAATGATGATGGTACTGATGTTGGTGATCAGTACCGAGGTGTTGGTGATGCTGATTAAGATGATGATGATGATAGTGGTGGTGGTAATGATGATGGGGACAATGTGATGATGATTTCATGTTGATGATGATGTTGGTAGTTACTAAATTTAACTTGAATAGGTTACCTTTTGTGGTGGTACATTAAAAGCTTTCACCCTCATATCCACTCTGTCCCACTTATCAATGCACGGCAAAATGAATATTACTCCTGCCCGTAACAAAATGGAAAAAAATCATAAAGACTTTACACTTGACCAAATTAATTACTAGTCCTCGAAGTATGTTTATTGCTTAGCTAACTGACCTGGCTGTTTCACAGGTTGCAACCGACCAAGCCGAAATATAACAGCCCTCTCATAGTCTTGGATTATCTACAAATAGAATTAGTGTGTTAAAATACTGGATCTAGGCTCAAGTTATTTTCATAATGTAGTATATGCCATGCAAGGGATTGAACTTAGTTGGCTGGGGGTTAATTCAGTTACTTCAAAAGTGCAGGATCAACCACAATGCAATGCATATGTTTGTTTATGTTTCTGTTTTGTTGTGGGCCAGAGACAACCATTTTCGTGGCTTCGAAAATGGTGGTAACTATTGAAGAAAGTAACTGAAAAACGTAAACAAAAACGCGCATTGCATTGTGGTTGATCATGTCCTTTTATAAAAGCCACCACGTCTTACCCTGACATGCGCAGACGTTAAGAGCGCTTGCATACCCTCCCTTAATCACAACACACGACAGCTACAACGTGTATAAATACAATAATTCGACCATTTATAATTGGCTTCCCTTCGTTGAAGGATAAGCGCATTTAAATCTGTCCAGTGGTCGAAAGACTACAACGTAGGGTTGCCATAATTCCACACAATGAGCTTCGAAACGCAGTCGCCTCTGCGATTTTTTTCTTGCTTTTTACCCCCAAAATAAATCCCCCAATCGTGATAGAATAACGCCTTACCTTGACACAACAAAACACAGATACAGGAAGCGTCAGAATTGCAAAAACATATGCAATAAAAGTTATAATCCATCCAATAACATCAACCGTTTTATTCGCCGATATACGTTCTGTTGAAAACAAAATAATTTAATATTAATTTGTTTGTGACAGCAAAATATTGTCCGTGTGTCGCTTTAAAATGAATTTAAAAAGATGATAGCAATCACTTCAGTCTACCTGTATGCAAAGAATCGTTAGAATATAATCCTAATCGGTCTTGTCTTCCTAAAAAACTATATTTTGTTGCCATTTTCCCAAAAATTTTGCCAATAGTTTGTAATTTTCTTTTGTTTACATTTATGTCAAAGCGTCTTGAAAGTACCTGGTGCTTCCATTTAAATTAGCGATATTTCAGTCCATATTTCCCAGTGATATTTCCTTATGATTCCATTGATTGATTATCGATTTATGGCATGATTTATTGATGATATCTGCGACAAAATTCTCGGTGAAACTTTTCCCTATTTTACCAGAAATTTATTTCGTTCAAAATTCAAAATGGCGGCCGCAATGATGCAAAGAACATATTGTGTTTTGCGATCTTTTCGCTCGCCTGGAAAGGCTCTGCTTTTTCGTAGCAAAACAAAATCAGCGAGAAAGAAAGCGCAAACCATTGAAAGTCCAAAAGATTTTGTTTATTTCTTACATAATCATGTCGTGCCTTTGCATTCGTTTGAAGAAGCGATTGAAAAGTTGAAAGTGTATTCTATTGAGGAGAATAAAGAACCTGAACAGACCGTTACAATGTGTATGAAATGTCAAGGGTTAAATAAAGTAAGTTGAAGGATGGTGTAACCGAAATAGTACAAATATTTTGACACAACTGTACAAATTTTTATGTAAAGACACAGCTGAGGTGACAGCAAGTAGTTTTCCCTTGCCATTATAAATAACCCAAGCATTCAACAACATTTGTTTTTTGTCTAAAACATGGAATTTAATACAATTTGTAACAAGCAACTTTATTAGATTATGAAGTGCGACTTATTTCAATTACTCAAAATATGTCACACTTCATTGAATCCCAGGTAAACAGGACCATACCTGACTGGAAAGTTTGGAAATTGCACACCAGAGATTTCAAAAATTTAATAGTAATTAATCAAAAGTATGTGCCACAGATATCCGCTGCGCAATACAAACTTTCCACACTGGGGACCATATAAACAGCCCCTAAAATAATGAAGTAGGATGCATTCAAACTTAATGGGTTAACCTGTTTTTATAGGAGATTCCTTCATTTCGTGGAACTCTTATGTTGCCCAAACCATTTGGTGTTACAAAGAAAGTTCTCGTGTTTGCTGAGGTATGAGAAGTTGTGAACATACTGTATACACCCTTTGATAGACACCCCCCGCCTGATATGACACAGACGGTTTTAAAATGTTCAACATTGTATATGTGTTCAGTTGTGTGTTGATAATGTTTCAATGTTTAATATTCAGGGTGATGAAGCCATGGCTGCAAAGGATGCTGGGGCAGAAATTGTCGGTGGTGAAGAACTGTTTTCGCAAGTATGTGAAGATATTTTAAACACAAGTGCATATGCATAATCTGGGAATAATTGTCAACATTGTTATAGGCAGTTTTGTCTAAAACCATAGTTCCCAAATTCATTTTTAGGTTGAAAACAGTGAACTGGAGTTTGACCATTGTTTAGCATCACTGGATATGGCAGATAAAATTAAACATTTACAGAAAGTTTTAAGAGAAAAAATGCCCCATACCAGACGAGGTAAAAACTTCTCAATCAATGACAACCATACAATAGTTAATTCCAAAGAACATGGTCTTATTGAAACTAGAGAAAGATTGTTCATTCACAAAGTGATCTGTTCAAATGAACTACGGTAGCTATAATAGGGTGATCTACCCTAGCAATGGTTCTGGAAAACAAGACCTTGTCTGATATTCTCTCTGATTGTTCATATCTAATGCTGTATTTCACACACATGGCTAATTTTGTTTGCCAGGAAGCGTCACCGATGACTTGGCGACTGCAATACAAACATTCAAACATACACGGGTGTATAAAACAGACAAATATGGCTATGTTAACACAGCTATAGGCATGGTGAGTAGCTTGTAAACACCAGTATTTATTGGTGGGGTTATTGGTAGTAAGCATTGCAGCATATCTTTCTATTTTAGCTTGATTTTTCTCTGGAAGATCTTCATCGAAATGCAGATGTGGTCATTGATGCAGTTCAAAACCATCGTAAAACTAATAAAGGTAAAATTCATCAAAAAGAAAAATTGTACTTCCATTTGCATAAGACACAAATAAGTTAAAACATGCAATGACTCAATGAAAATATTTATTCTGATTGCTGGATTGTGACTTCATGGTACATACTATATGTTAGTGTTGTACAAAAGGACGTACCATTTGGACATTCTAATAATGCTTGTGTTATTTCTCTACAGGAGAGTTCATACGAAAGATAAGTGTGACCTCAACGCGTGGACCTGGATTTAGACTCTACCATGAAGAACTTGTCCCATCACTGAAACTTAGAGCAAAAAGTTGATGATCACAAACTATATAATATTGAGAATATAGTTAAAAAATATTTTATATTTTATAAATTATAGAAGTAGATCGACACTTTCCAAAATACTTAAACAATAAACCAGCTTCCGGAAAGTATTTCAGTAACAGTTTGGCTATTCTTGGGTTTCACTACGGCATGTCAACTTCAAATGTATCAATGCTTTGTACTGGAGTGAGAAAATGATATGAAATTCCACATATTTTGGTATTTGCCACCAAACACAAGGCTGATACATAAAACGAACAATCGACTCACTCTGATAACTGTGTTTTGTTTTAGAGTTGACCCCCCATCACTTTTGTGACGTCATATGAAACCCAAGAATAGAGCCTCGTTTTTGTGTATGTGACATCAGCTAAAGCCCAACATCTCAATCACGAAAATGAGGCATTGTAGTCAAAGTCACATGGAACTGATGGAAGCATGTATTGGCCTGCATGAACTTGAGGCCGAATGTTTTTGTTGGGGGATGGGGGGGGTTAAGCATGGGAGGTTGCCACGCTCCTCCGCAGAGGCTTCTGTTGGCTATGATTATGATTGGTACTGAGATACATTTCACTACACTTTACATGGCGGATCTTGGAACACAAGCGGAGCGCAGGGGGTTGCATTGTATTCTGCCCACCTCTGCTGCCCACCAGAGTTCATTCAGGGTCACTCATGCATGACTCTTCCATGAAATGAATTTTTTTATCTGCTAAGTGGAAACACGAAAGTCTACGAAACGTTTTTCAATCCCCCCTGAAATTTTATAAAATAATATTTATTTCAGGGGGGTGGGGATGATCATTGATAAACTCATGATCATGATCAACCTTTAGCTCGAGTTTCGAAACTTCCTCGTGATTTCCTGCACTTTGACCCGAGATTTTGGCAAACAATCAAAGACCTCAAACAAATATTGCGCGATACACTTCAAACTATTTCATAACTGCTTTGTGGAAAACATTTACGACCGTTCCCGGCTTAAAATTTACACCGTTTGCTTCACAGTTTAAATTGCTAAAAAGGTAAGTTTGTGGTCGAGTTGTTTATACAATAAGTCTGAAATCTCGGCGTGAACTTTCGCAGAGTGTATGCAAATTGTAATTATTACATGTGTGTAACGTAGTATTAAGTGGTCTGTAAATTTTATATTATAGCGTCTAGAGATGCTTGATTATTAGCCTTCAATTGTGCACATAAAGAAACTCAAAATGCTTAGCTTTGAATTGTAAAAACACTGGCAACAAGAGCGCGTGGAAAGCCTTCATTCAGAACTTTAAATTTGAGTTTAGTGACATTTGTACAAACGCAAATTGCAAGTTAAAATTGTTTTGTTTGGACTTGTAGCAGCTTGTTTTGCTGCCTTTTGTCGAATGTACGTATTTCGTAACTCGTGTATAAACAAACTTAAAATGATCATATTGACATGAATATCAAATAGTGTTTTGTGTCTTTTGTTTTTTTAAACCGCAGACGTCGGTGTAGTGTTAAATTTTTAAATTTAATTTTAGGTTTTAAAACTTGAACAAAATACTGTCAGTTTTTTGTGTAAAATAAAAGCGAAATATACAAATCATGCTGTTTTCTCTTTCATAATGTTCAACTATAGATAATTATTTTTTATTGTAAAGAAATGAAAAAAAATCAATGTATTCCATATTGGTATTGATTCATAAAAGATACATAATTTATGTTTGGAAAATTGCCTAAAGAATTATTCATAGAAATCAAGATAGTGGTTGCATTAAGGCAATGTTTATATACTGAGGAACTTGCAACAACAAGTTGCGATGCAATTGAGGTCACATGAAATTTGATTTGTTTTATAATGATTTGCACTCCAAGTTGTCATTAAAAGTTGTCCTGTTTACAGTAATATTGCCAATAGGTGGGTTTCACTCGAGGCATATACAATAGGGAAACGCTTGGTGGTCAATTTTACACATATTGCCGCTTTATGCCTTGTGGAAGCAAGTAAGTTTAGTTAAATTGCATATATTTGATACGAAACACAAGATCAATACTTATAATGAATATTTACTATAACTTGATCTGATAAATGTGTTTCCGTTTGGACTTGACCACCAAGTAGGGATGAGCCGATCGCTGAAATTGCTGATTAGCTGAATCGAGTAATTGGTGGCCAATAATACCAACTAGTCGGCTGATTTACACAATACAAATTTACTAGTAGGCATTAGTTCAGGTGAACATCAGGTGCTTTTGAGCCTTAAAATGAAACTTGAGAAGCTAGTGTAGCAAAGCACTCGACTACAGTATCTCTGACACTTATTCATGTCTGTCTTCCTCCCTTCTGAAGCTGGATACAAATTCTTTTTCATGACATTCTCTTTTATCTCATGTAATGGTCTCAATGATCGTCTGTGCGCACACAATTTTTTCACTAAGAGGAAATCTAGCTTAAGCTACACACATAATCCAGCTACATGGTCGTGGGGGTCGCATGTATAAGTGTTAATTTTCTCACTTGATAATTGCATTTCCGATGAAGAGAGAAGAAGTGAGATAAATGCAAGATCTTTTTGGTACGTATTTGTACAGCAGCTGCATGCCGCTGTTGTGCTAAAGTGATGCCCTGTTTCGGGTAAATTTGGATGGGCAACATTTATGTTGAAGTGGCAACATGTGCTTACTTTGTAACCTGACTCTGTCTGGAATAAAAAATGGTGTCGAGTGAGCGGTTCCCATAAAAACAATGTTCAAAAATATTTGTTCAAAAATAGTAACAAAATATACTGGAATATATCTACACTGTAAACAGATTTTATGAAACCCTCCCCCCCCCTGAAACCTATACACCCCCCTGAAACCTATGCACCCTTCCCCCATCAACAAGTGCATGAATTGTCAAAGGGTGAAAACTATGCACCATCCCCCCAGAAACCTATGCACTCTCCCCCCCTGAAATCTATG